ACACCAGACCCCTTTAGTATAATTTGCAATTGATTAAAGAGCTTGTATACGTAATTTGAATGTACCCTCCATTTAAAGAGTTGCATTTCCTGTACACAATGAAGATATCATCGTGTTTCTTTCTTAAAACGTATTCAATCCTGACAATTTCCTTTATTGTGTTTGTAGCAAAAATCCGCAATCCACTTTAGTAAAGAATCCACACTTCCGAGCGAGATAAACAATATCTTATTCAACATTTATCTGATGAAGATTTAAAGGGAACCATTGAGAATCGGACATGCCACTCAATAAATGGAGGACCACTTGAAATTGCGTCTAAACTCCCTTTCCGTATTAAGGAGATAGACCCCTAGAACCCCTAGAGCCCCTATGCAACCCTTCATGAAGACATGTATTGCTATTGAATTGATGTGCTCTATTCTATCCAGTCCGCGCGCCCTTATGCCCGAATGTGGATGTTTTGTACATCTGCGATAACCGTGCACGCACATATGCGTCATGTAAAATAGAAAACGCTCAATTTTCATTGTTGATTCTTTTAGAAAAACGCAGTTTTTTATCTAGCATTTGCACTTTTTTGCGTAAGCACGTCAGGTGTGTTTGCGTATTGGGCGTAAATGAGTGTATGTAGCGTATATACAGGTGTGTGGACACTATCACTATACCGGAGAAACTGAGCAGCTCAAAGTTTCAGGGATGGATATTATATTACAACAAAACTTAAATTTTTAAGTTTAATAATTTTCGAGTTACTTTACAAACCATGCATTGATCAAAAGGCAGCCATCTTTAGAAACTTTTGTGTTTTACAGTTTTGTAAATATTTTTTACAAATTTGAAAATATAAAGCCATATTTAAGCATTTATATAATTAATAAACGAGATATTTATGCATGAATTAAACTTAAACTTAAATTATAGATTTGACTGAGTTAATCTGAATCTGTTTAAAGATGATGAAACTTATTCTTTCTGTTCTTATTGTCCAAAAGTTCAGAGGCTTAACCATTTAGAAACGAGAAAATAGGTTCAACTCATTTAAGCCTATTTAAATTATTTAGAAGTAGAAATCAAATTTTAAATGAAATTTGTCTAAATACGAAAGTTTGCTCTATTATGAACTTTTCGTTTCTCAACAATTTCTAACATTTTGGAGAAAAAAAACAAGAAAAGTGTTTTTTTTTATCAAAAAAAAGGTTAGATTAAACAAACTAGCTCCTACCTGTTTGCTTCCTCGAGTTTCTTCAACAACTCCAACTCCGCCATACTCACCTTAACATGGACATGGTCTTGGACATGGTCTTGAACATTATCTTGAACATGGTCTTGGATATGGTCTTGGACATGATTTTGAACATTGTCTAGGACATGGTCTAGGGCATGGTCTTGGATATGGTCTCAAACATTATCTTGAACATGGTCTTGGATATGGTCTTGGACNGTAGAAAACTATCACATGGTCTTGGACAGAAATGCCACTATTCTATTAACAATTTCTGCTGATAATGCTGCTATTTTTCTAAGAAAATCGTATTTTGCGGATTTTTTGTATTTTAAGTTGCCCATCTAAAAAAAACAAGTGTGGACATAATTTTTCGGGCAAAATTTTTTATCTTAAACCATCCATTCACCTTCCCTGGGGTTATGAGAGTTGTCAAATAAAAATTGGGCTCGATCGGTTCAGCCTAGGGTTTCCAGCGAAAAGAAAAAATCGTTTTGCGAAAATTGTTTTTTCCCGACCATTTCGCTTTATTTTCGCATTTCGTTTGCTCACAAAAATGCGAAAATTTTCGTGAAATAGAAAATGAGTAAATTTCGTAGAAAAATGCGAAAATTTTGCTAAAAAATAGTGCCAAAAAAATAATGCGAAAATTTCGCGAAAAAAATGGAAATTATAAAAAAAAACCAACATTTCTCAAAAATACAGAATTCTTGCAAACAAATGCAAAATTTTAGCAATAAAGTTGCAAAAATTGATCAAAAAAGACTAAATTTTGAAAATAAAAAACTCCTTTTCAAAGAGGGATTTATCTGCGAGCCCAATTGACACAAAATATAAGTATATTTTAAGAACGACTAGGAGACATCAGACAATTCAAAGATTTACTTTCTCGACCGTTAAGATCTTTCTTCGATCATAAAACACAAAATAAAATCTACTACGGGAAGAACCAAAATAATTCGGAAACTTAAAAAGATAGCTAGTGAAATCAAATTCTCTTCATCAAACATTTATTAAAGTAAAGGAAGAGAAATTATTTATATGAGTGATATGACATAATAAAACTTCAAATATTGAGCTATCAGAGCAGAGAATTCCACAAGTTCTTTTGAGCAATTAATTGTTGCAACTATAAAAGTCACGGTTTTAACAAAATTTTCGCATTTCGCGAAAATATTTCCGCAGTTTGCATTTCGCTTGGTTTTAGCTTCATTTATTTTTGCGAAAAAATGCATTTTTTCTCGAAACGTTTCGTTCGTTGGAAACCCTAGTTCGTTGGAAACCCTAGTTTAGCCGTTTTGCCGTTTATTGGATTCAGACACACAAGCCAAGTTTATATATATGTAGATGTTATAACTTTAATATATTGAATATTGTCAACTATACCTCTTTTGGTAAACAGTTGTTATTTGTTATCTCCTCCCCCTTTACTTCCTTTTCTTCCTTTACTTCCTTTTCTTCCTTTTCTTCCTTCACTTCCTTCTCTTCTGTCTCCTTTATTTGTACTTCTCCCGCCTTCACCTATAAAACATGAGTGCCCATTATTGTAAATGAACGTTAAAACGATCAAAAAAAATTAAAAATAAACTAGCGGAGTTGACAGACTATGTGTGCCAAATGGTCTCCCTTGCTTACAGCTCTGTCCGCTGAGAATTGTTGGTTTATCATATGAGTTTATTCCAAAGACCTCTTCTTTATGTCAAATAATGCTTGCTGGAAAAATTACTAGAAAACCCGCGAAGCAGGTCTGTTACTGTGTTAGTGACTTGCACAGTATTTGAGATATTAATGAATGTTCGAGTGAAAAATCAAAGAAGTGTTTTTGTCCTAAATTTGTAGAAAACTATCAAAATTTTGTAGAAAACTATCAAAATTTTGTAGAAAACTATCAAAAACCGATAAAAAAAAACACGCAAAGGTATATACTGTATAGTATCCTTGATTTTTTTATTTAAACAATGAAATTACCTCCTTTTTGATAAATACTTCAGGATCTAGATCTCCTGATCTCTCCTGGTCAAGGACCTCCTTTTCAGGAGGTGTATCAAGAACCTCCTTTTCTAAAGGGGCATCAAGATCCTTTTTATCAGGAGGTAATTCAAGACTGTCCTTTTCAAGGTCCTCAGAATTTTCCTGGAATGGAAGATCCAAATCCTGAAAAAATCAAGAGATTGATCATGAACTAAATCCTAAATTGTTCCAAGGGATTAATAATGATAATCCTGAATAAGTTCAAGGCATTGATCATGATCCACTTTCGAAATTAGTTCAATGCATTGATCATAATCCACATTCAAAATTAGTTCAAGGCATTGATCATGATCCACTTTCTAAATTAGTTCAATGCATTGATCATAATCCACATTCAAAATTAGCTCAAGGCATTGATAATGATTCACATTCTAAATTAGTTCAAGGCATTGATCATGAATCATATTCTAAATTAGTTCAAGGCATTGATCATGAATCATATTCCAAATTAGTTCAAGGCATTGATCATGATCCACATTCTAAATAAGTTTAAGGGACTGATCATGGTTTAAATCCTGAATTAGTTCAAAGAATTGATCATGATCCATATTCTAAATTAATTTGAGGGACTTTTCATATTTTATATCTTTAAATAGTTCAAGTAACTGATAAGTAACTGATTAGATCAAGATGATCATAAAATTGTCTTTGGAACCCAGTTCAAGTCCATTAAAAAAATATCTTTTCTTGGATTCAAAATATGTTCCTATTCGAAAAAATGTAATACTTTTTGTGAAACTTTCTCACAAGTAAAACCTACAAAATATTAAGAAAAAAAATTACCTGGTTCTGAATGTGTACCATAGTATTCTTACATATCAAGCTTTTATTCGACAAACTAGAAATACAAAAATAATTTTAAAAAATAATAATCATTTTGAACAAACTGAAAAGAACGATAGAAAATCATAAAATCATAATTTAGAAAAATCAACTATGGAACTATGGAACTATGAAACTAAGAAACTAAGAAACTAAGAAACTAAAAAAACTATAAAAATATGAAACTATGAAACTATGAAACTACGAACTATGAAACTATGAATAAATGAAACTATAAAACTAAGAAACCATGAAAGTATGAAACTATGAAATATGAAACTATGAAACTATGGAACTATAAAACTATAAAACTATAAACCTATGAAACTATAAAACTATGAAACTATAAAACTATAAAACTATGAAGCTATGAAGCTATGAAACTATGAAACTATGAAACTTTAGATTTTTGAAACTATGAAACTTTGGATTTTTGAAACTATGAAACTTCGGAATGTGAATCAAACTTTTGCAAATTGAAACCGAGTACCAGGTTTAAATTCCTTATAATTGCATCATTGCATAGGTAAGGAAGCGGTTTAATTATTATAAAAGAGAGGGGATGTTTAAATTTAAATTTATCTCTACCATAAGGCCGAGTCAGACCAAAAAAAAGGAATTGAGTTTTTTTTGCTAAGAATTCAGATTTTCTAATTCCTAAATCTTAACAACCAGATATCCTAGACCTTTAATATTTCAAACTATGAATTCTGTTAATTAGATCAAATATTTTTTAAGTTAGATATATCCAAGGTTTTTACCATTATCAGGTTGTAAAGATTTAAGGATTAGAAAATTTAAGCTGGTGGCAATTCCTTTGCTTTTAATGCAACGTGAAAATAATATTTTGCTTTAAAAATCGGGAAAATATGGTGGGGGGGGGGAGAGGGGGGGATTTATAACATCTATAATTGTCCATATGTTGATTTAAAATGATGTAGTTCTAATAAAGCTGATATTAGAACTTTTTGAAAACCTATCATGTTAAATCATTAAATTTTAACCATCAAATTTAGAAAATTTGGGTGTTTTTCAAGTGTTTAATTCTGATAATACCCGTATGTTTTTTTTCTGCCGGTAATTATGTAAAATATCTTTTTGCTAAAAATTCACACACAAATTTGAGCTAAAAATAATTAGATATTATTAAAATTACATATTTAAAGGATTAACCATAGAGTAATATGGGATTAACACACATACACTGTGACAGTTAAATGAATTGAATTAGAATTTATTGAATACAATCGACACCATTCAACACTCTCCAACCTGTAGTCAATATACCGGAAATATACTTTCACTTACTTAAAATCGGCGGCGTTCTGGTCGTCAGTCAAACTTTCAGACGATTTTTTTTACAAAACTCACAACATTGTCTCACTGAGTACCACAATTATGTACTGATAGGTTGTACATGTGTACAGTGAAGCGTAAATCTGCGAAACTGTACTTTGAGTTGACGCTTGAACGAATGAAACCGATTGTTCTCCGTGGTATACAGGTAGGTTACCAGGGGTAAATACATCACCCAACCCAAATATATTTGAAACAAATATTTTTAAAATTTTAGAAAAATAAATTTCGAAATTAACAAATTCATTATTTGAGTGTGTTTTTTTATTACCTGATAGTAAGTATCTATCTATCAAGGTAAACGCATGACTATCTATCTATCTTCACATATACTGCATGACTGACTATCTATCTATCACACAATCTTGAAAATGACACCGCATGACTATCTAACTATTTTAAACACTGCACATGTCTTACAATCTTAAAACACTTTTTTTATTTTTTTTTTACTCGCATGAGACCAGCTATGATCTATGTATCTTATGCATAATACAGTGCATGACTGACTTTCTATCTATCTATCTAACCTAAACCAGGGGCGTACGAGAGTTTTAGTGTAGGGGGGAGGCACCTCCTAGAAGATTTTGTGCCCCCCTATTTTGACAAAATTACTGATTATTTTTTTTTTATCTATATTGAAGAACCATATATCTTTCATACTTAGTTTTTGCTTGGTTTAAACATATTGCAACCCGATTTCGTAGATCTCTGATATTTCAAACTATGAATTCTATGAACTATAAAAAAGCCAAGATTGAAATAAGTTTTACACCATCAGGTTTCTAAGAAAAAGGGAATAGAAAATTTGAGTTTGAGGCAAAACTTAGTTCCTTTTTTTAAAAAATCTTTTCCCCTTTTCAAAAATAATTTTTTCTCCAAGAAATTAGATATGTTTGCGCGGAGCAGCAAAAAAAAATGTTTAATGTTTTATTTGCTGAATATTTGGGTATGAATTGTAATAAAAAGGATAAAAAACATGTCTTTTAATATCCCCAGCTCATCAAAAATCATATTTTTTATAGAAGTTAGAAGAATTAACAATTGTTTAGGGTTTTAATTGCTGAAATTTCGAGTAAAAAGAATTTAAAAGGATGAAAATTTGCCTTTTAATGTCTATATTAACCACTTCACCTTTTCTTCTTCTTCGATTAACAAAAATATATTTTTTTAGTTTTGTTTGCGCGGAGCGCCATACAAATATTAATGGTTTAACTTGCTGAATTTTTGTTTTAAAAATATTGAAAAAGGATGAAGTAAGTTAAATTTTAACATTCTATTTTTCAATTTTCCCCCACATAATATAAAATCATTTTATGTATGACACCGCCCCAGAGGGTGCACCCTTGGGAGGGGGGGTTACGTGCACCAAGCGCCCCCCTTGGCACACCCCTGATTACACTTTTCCTTTATTAATTGCTCTGTATGACTATCTTTTACACTTAATAAATGTCTAAAATTACCTTTTTTTAGAATCTGTGTGCTCCCCGCCCCCCGGGGGCGCTTGTGCCCTCTCTGGTTGTTGGGTGGGGGAAGGGGGCTGAACCCCGTCAATGTAAACAATCTTCGGATCACCCCTGAAACAAATAATCATGAAAATAATTATTTCGCAAATACTGAATTTCCGGATTTTTAATTTCTCTGAAAATGCTTTTAGATAAAAATAAAGAAATGCCCGACTTTCTTTGTAT